AAGGTGACTGCAGAGAGAGTCCAGCCTATTACTTTAGCAAAGCCATTAGAAGAACTGGGAGGTTGAGAAATTACAAAAGTACAGAAAAGATGCAAGGGGGAACGATTTTTTGTGAGTGGATCTTTTATTGGATCTTTTTGGATCTTCTATCCAAACTCCATGGTTTGGATAGAACTGGACAAGCTTTTGAATGCAAGGCATTCTTCATCATTCTAGTTGTCTTCCTATAATGACATCACGAGGCATAGAGACAATAGACAGCTTAATTTATTTTAATTTATACTGAATTGTGAAAGAATTTTCAAAAAATTGGTTGTTTTCCTCATGGAGATGGATGGGAACTGGCTTTTCTTTGATGTGGTTTAAGGTAGGTCAACACTAAGTCTAAAAGTATGACTGCAGCTCAGGTAAACATATTTGAGACACTTGCCAATTAACTGCTTCCTTGGAATCTGACAACAATATAGCTCTGAAACAGGGTTCAGCAAAACTCACCCAAGAGCTTGAACTCTGCTGCCATTAATTTAAACCACTAGCACTGCAGCCAATTCATTTATTTCTACATGACAACTTTGGCTAGGTTCAGACATTTCACATAAACTGGTATAAGTGATTAGAAACCAATCTAAACTTAGAACAGTGCACATATACTGGTTTTAAAAAGGCAGAACCCAGTCCAAGATAAACCTGGATGAATGTAGTATCAGATTTAATCAGTTTAGGTTTGACTGGTCTATTGAACTTCTGTCTCAGATCCCCTTCTGACTCAGTCTGATGGCATCCCAGGCACCTTTCCAAGTTACCAGCCACAGGCAGGGGTGGGGCATGGGGGCAGTGGGGAGCATCTGTTGCTCTGTATTTTTCTATCTTTATATGATATCCCTAGGCAGGGCAGGGTACTTTGCAAAAAGAAAGAATTGGGCCTCTCAAGCTCCAGCCAATGGCAGGCACCTGACAGCAGGGAAGGGCAGACTGAGCAAGCAGCACCAGCTGTGGACTGCTGTGCTCTGTGTGCATGGGAGCGTTAGCATGGTCAGGCAGGGAGTGGAGCAGCTGCCACTGCCACTCAAGCTGTGATTCCCCAGTGCCTGAAAGCATTGGCAGCTCCTGGACAGCACAACCTGGGTGAGGCAGAGATGCTCTCCACTGCCCAACAGCTCCTGTTTGGCTGTGAAACTGCTGCCTTTGACTGTGAAACTGCAGATAAGAAACAAAGGTACCAGGGCTTTGGATCCATTGCAGGGAGCAGCTGCTGCTAGATCCAAGCCCCACACACAAGGAGCCCCTCTCTTTTCTTCTCCCCCTTCCCCTTTCCCAAAGTTGGAACACAAAGCCAGAACTTTCTACTGTTTGCCTGGCTAGCCTGCTCCCAGCTGCCTTCCCTTTGGGAGCCCCAGGGGTTTAAGCCAGGGCTAAGGGCAATCTTATTTATAATTTAGTCTGGCTTTATACAGGATGGTTTGGGTAGGGCTGAACCTGCCTCTGGCAGAGGGTTGGAGTGACTCCTTCCATCCCTGCTTCTCTACAATTCCTGTGGCTGGGGTGGAGCGGGGGGGTGGGGAGTGCACTGCTCCCATGTACCTGGCAGCCTGTTTGGGGTGGCTTAATGTCTCCGGCAGCCCAGGGTGCCAGCAGAGCATGTTGGGAGGCAAGCAAGAGTGCCCCCTAACTGCTGGTCTCCTCCAGTGCATGCAGCCCACATGTCCCCATACCCCCAATGAAGGGACAGCATATGTTCTGTTCTCTCTCAAACAATACTAGGGTGCTTAGAGTAAAGCATAAAACTTAGATCACTTCTGCCTCTGGCTTTTTGAATGTCTGTGCCTAGCCTTTGTGCTGCATTTGAGACATAGCATCATCTTACGCAGGCCCACAGAGTGAGATTTAAGTCTTTTAGGTCATGATTTTACAAGATACTATGTGCAAGTACAGGAATCTTCCACTGGTTTCATGGTTTTGGGTCTAGCAGATGAGCATGGGGAAAAAGTGGCAAAAGGTGTGTAATTTGCCTATAAATTTCAGTTAAATTACATTAGTATAACATCTTTTTTGCAGATAATGGGACTGAAATTTTGTATTCATAAGATTCCTATGCAATTACCATAAAGTCCTCTTGGTTCTGAGTCACAAAGAACTTCTTGACCTTTAAATGAGCTGAGACAGATGCAGAATTTTCTAGATAGTTATAAATGTGTGACCTCTCCCATCCCCAAACTTCAAAACAGGCTATGGAATAAAGCTTAACGTGTTCTAAATGCAACAGGAGAACCACATTTTTTTCATTTATTTCTTGTATGACTTTTTTCCCTGAAGTTTATTGAATGGCCTTAAGGCAATGACGCTTTTGTAAGCCATCAGCATGCTCAAAAACCAGTAAAGCAGACAAAATCACCAGCAGAAATACAAAAAATATAGATCATTTGGGTCACATTTCTGAGATCCGATACAGTCCTCTCATGGTGCTCAAGTGTGCAGAGAGGCCATAAAGCTGAGCTAACCAACTAGTTAAGAAATCACTTAACAAAAATAGGTATCCCCACGTTGCATAGGGATTGGATGGGGATGCGGTGGTCAAGGTGCTACTCTGTGTAGAAATCTTTGGTCACACTCACCACTAGTGTGACTAGAACCAAGGCTGCACAAGTGAACTATCCCCGCACCCCTTCCTTTGCTCATTGGAGGAAATAATATAACATATTTTTACCCAGTTTTCCCAGGACCTGCACCAATCACAGCTTAACTAGAGGTAAAGGATGCTCCTCTCAAATTTGAAACAAAGCAAGAAAAATATGCACAGCATAAAATTCAACAGCTACTGGCTAGCCTTAGAACAATTCTCTCTCTTTTTTTTCTTTTCTCTAAGATGGAAGCTAAGACATTTTAGAATTCTCCAATCAGGCAAAACTTCCACAGCTGCATTCAAGGAAAGCCCTCTCCTCACTGGTGCAAGCCAGACAAAGCAAAAGCAAAATATAACTATTATATATGTGCCCAAACAAACTGGGGGCAGAGAAATACCCATTTTTATAGTTTATAAATTAAATTAAGTTCTCAATCTCTTATATCTAGTGCAATGGGTGTCTCCAGGCTCCTCTTCCCCCTCAATTAGGCTGTCTAGATAGAAAATGATGGTGAAGAAAGAAGCTTTCCTGAATGTTACTGGGAACAATAAGCTGAATAAGTTATCGGCATGTGCTTGTTGCCAAGAAGACTAATAACATCCTGGGTTGCAATAGTAAGAGTGTTGCTAGCAAATCAAGGGAAGTGATTATTCCCCTCTATTCAGCACTGATGTCTCATCTGGAGTACTGTGTCTGTATTTGGGCCTCTAGTTACAGAAAGGATGTGGACAAATTGGAAAGTCCAGCAGAGGACAACAATAATGGTTAGAGGACTGGGCAACATAGCGATACAAAGCTTTGGGCGGGATAATCTAGTTGGGGATGGTTCTGATTTGAGCACAGGCTTGGACAAGATGGCCTCCTGAGGTCCATTTCATCCCTAATTTTCTGATTCTATGACTTTCTATTTACAATTTGTAATGCTCTTTCTTAAAATGCCCTTTCCATGCTCTAAGTACTTAAACCATAAATTAAAATTCATATATACCATAGCATATAGTAACTAGCTTTCCCACACTAATTAAGCCTAAATGGGCAATTCCCACTTAGAAAAGGTAATTGTCTAGAACAAGGAAGTCTGCATACCAATAATGAAAAACAATATAGATCACCACTCTTTTTAACATATTACACAATCTGGCTTTATACCTCCTTGTATTTCTATTCCAGCCCCATCACACTGACTCCTCATTTTAAAGTGGCATCATTTCAGTCACTGACCTCAAGGCTGGGATGCCAGCTATCGCTGCAAGATGGCCAAAAGTTATAACTAGGCTTTTTTAGTAACTGTTGGTTAATCATTTTTTTCTCTTCCCCATTCAGACAGATATGTATTTAAACACATTGGGAAAGATCAAAATGTACCAAAAAGGATACAACTGTGCTATTTGTGTGGCCTAATCTTAAGAGGGGTTGCCTTTTGTTTCCAATTCTATTTACAATAAGAAATCCATGTTGCATCATATTTCCAAAGACTATAGTTTATTTTTAATACAGAAAATATTGAACAAGAGTTGACACCTCATTTTGGATATTTGTTTATGTTATTAATTGAAGTCAATAGAAGTTTCACAGAACTTTTTACTATCAGGGGACACTGACAATTATTACACAATGTTAGCTCCCCTCCCAAAAAAATCTTTTAATCTCAATTATGATTGTTCTTCACAAAAGTATTCCCTGCCCTCTATTTCCCTCAGGGGAAAAATGTTTTCAATTCAATTACTTCTAAAAATAACAACTATCTACGGGCAGTATGTAAATTTGAAATGTTTAGCAGTAGTGCTACGAAAGTTGGTAAAACAACAACCAATTAAACTGCAACCAGCTTCAAAATAGCAGCGTTCTTCTTTACAACATAAAGTATAAGCAAGACACTGAACAAAACATTGAAAATTGAAACAAATATGCTATTGATGTCAAATTCATTTAACAAAAAAAAAATCTTTCGAGATGTTCAAAGCTTCCTTGACAGGTTTAAGATGGATATTTTCAAGTCAAGGCAAGTCAAGCCTAAAATATTAAAACAATTCTAGGGAAGAAAGCATGACAGTCTCAAATAAGGGATCACAAACTCTAATCCTTGTATCCGTATCTACCCACTCTTCCAAATTTTTCCTTTTGCCTGTTGTTCAATACATCATATATTTCTTTAGACATAAAGATACATCTACTTTGAATGTCGGGTGCTTCCAGAAAATATTACAAAATGTGATAAATAATGAAACCCACCTATAAAACAACAACTCTTTGTATTATTCTTAAATAACCAAACTTACTAACATTATGCTGGCTTCAGGTTTGTTGGTTTTTATTTTGTTTTGGTTTTTTTCAGCTTCCCACCCCAGAAATAGAATGGCAGGGTACAAGTTCACTTACCTCGAACAGAAACCAGAAGAAAACCTAGGCAAAAAAGAATGGTAGCTCTCAACCTCACCATGGTTTTCTCTACAGTCGACCTATTGTTGTTGTTGTTTCTCAAAGTAATGAGCAACAGTTGTAACTGCAAAGTCACTTTTTCCTCCTCTTTTGAAGATTTCTGAAGTAGGCTAGCTCACAGATATCTTTTCATGCCATTCCCCTCAAACACAGAGAGCTCCACAGAGAGAAAAGCTCAATCTACAAGACACTTTAAAATCCAGCCAGACACAAAGCCTCCCTATAGTAAGTCTACAACACAGTTGTGAACATGTAAATCTGTACATTCACAGCTCCTCCCCAGCAAGAAATTTGCTTAATAAGATCATCCACTTACAAAGATGGCAGGTCAACTCCTCCAAACAACTAATGAGAAAACAGGACTATAAGAACTACTGTGCTATCAACTGCACTCCTCTCCCAAACAAAGATACCTTATTTTCAAACCTCGCCTGCAGAGTTGGGTGTGCTGCTGCAGTCAAACATACTCCATCCCAGGAGAGTGATTTTACAAAAGCATACTCAGCAACCTATAGTAAGTATTCTTTTCTTGGGCTTATGGGCTATTTTTACGGTCATATTTAGGCTGCTAAATCATAATCAGCAAGAAAGGAAAGCATGGCTGGATTTCTAATCCAGGAGTAAGCAGTGTTAGAGCAGAGAAAACTAAAAAAAACAAACAGGTTGTAGCTATCCCTGTGTTCATCTTCCACTGACCAGGAGATTAAATATAAATAGAATATAGAGATATATTTAGGATTAAAAAGTAGTCTGTTTATTGTAATAAGTCTGTTAATATGATGCTCTGCGCTGAAAGCGGTAAGGGTCTAATTTTTGGGAACTGCACAAGTAAAATAAGGAACATGTTGAACAGGTATTTTAGTGAGAATTATTTATTATTGTTTTCTTATTTTATCTACTTTTTTGGTAACCTGCTCTGAGTCTGTTTGGAGAGGGCAGCATAAAAAATAAAATTAATGAATAGATTTTAGAAAAAATGAATGAATAGATTTTGTTCTAGCAAAAGCTATGAAAATTATTGTCAACCTACTCTGGCTAAGACAGATAAACATGTTATTTCTCATCAGGCCTAGTCATCAGACTTAAGAAGATTACTGACATTTAGTTTTAAGCAGTTGAAGATATTTTTTATTTCAACAAAAAGATTACACTGGGACTCAAGCAATTGTCATAAAATACTTGAATGTCTCTTTTCAGACTAGTGTATACATGAGGCATATGAAAATGTCTAAACCTGATTTTAATGATGAAATCACCCTGAAGGTAACATAGAATTTAGCACATCTGAGTAACAGACAATCTGAGGCAGGCACAGGCAAATCAGAGAAACTTAAAAGCTTTACATCAAAACAGCTATTTTCCTGGTAGGAATCTTTTCTATGTGCTCTATATCAACTCTCACTTTGTACTAGTATATAGTTTCTTTAAGCATGTGATAAAATTATTATGGATCCACGCACCTCATTTCTTTCACCAAGTAGGAACACAAGCAAATGTGACATTTGGTTTTATCCCCATTTTCATAGGTGCTTTGTTGTACAGTGTGGAAGAATAGGCACAGTGCTAGAAGTCCCAAGTCTTACACCCATCTCTGTCACTAACATGTTGGGCATGTCCAGATGAGCCCGCACGTGCCTTTTGCAGCATCTCAAACCCCTTTGAGATGCTGCAAGAGGCACGTGCAGAAACAAAAAAATGTTCCCCCTGCTGCAAATTTGCAGCAGGGGAGCAGAATTAGATCCCATCCAGGTATCAAACAAAACCCCGGGGGGAAAAAACAGGATAGGGCACAGTCCCAGACCATGCCCTGAGGCAACCGGAGGCTCAGTCCTCCACAGAGACTCTCTGGTGTGGGGAGGCTGGAGAAAGCAGGGGAAGGAGTAGGGGGCTGGAGAGAACAGGAGAATGTCTCCAGGGGCTGTCTCCAGCCTCCTGCTCATTCCCCTGCTGTCTCCAGCCACCTGAGGCTGGAGACAAACAGGGGAAGGAGCCGGGGGCTGAAGACAAGTCCCTGGAGATAAGCTGGAGACTTCTCCTACTCTCTCCAGCCTCCTGCTTGTTCTCTGCTACTGCTGGTGAGTGTGGCAGGGCTGGGAGAGCAAGTGGGCAGCTCGGGGAATGAACAGAGGGTGGGCTTGTTCTCCTGCTCATCTCCAGCCTCTGGAGCAGGGGAATGAGGAGAGGACTGCTGACCAGAGCGGGTGGGGCATGGGGAGAGCTGTAGCCCCTGGGGGGGCCTGGGACCCTGCAGGCAGGGTATTCTATGTGCTGTGGGGGGGAGTTCTGCCCTGTGGGGAGCAGGGGACTATTGGCAATGCATAGGGGTGCACACAGGTGCACATGCACCCCCTGAGCGTAGCGGTATACCCCCTCAGAAAAGGCGCCGCTGACACTATTGGCGGTGCCCGTGAGTGGTCGCCGCTTGCCACCCCCACATTGCTGACACTGCTGGTGGCATCTGCGGGAGCTCCCTGCTTACCACTGCTGCCACGCTCCTGCCACCACCAGCACTGCTGTGCCCTGCCAGCTGCCAAGAGCATGTGGCATTCATGCAGGGAACCCACCCCTCCTAAGCAGCTCCCACACCCACAGTCCCCCCCACACCTACCCACACACTGACTCACACCCCAGCACATCCCTCCACACCCACCCACATCCCCCCACCCTCTTCCCACCCCATCCTGCAAACCCCACATCACACACCCACCATGTGATAAGGAAACCCAAAGCAAACATTAAAACATAGATATTTAGGATTTATTTTATTATGATGCTAGAGACACTGATGGGCTTCCAAATTTCTTTTACATTGTAAATATAGCAATAAAACATTGCCCATCTGATCAATCCCCCTTTTTCTCTCTCTCTTTTTCTAATTATGTAAGAATGTAGATTTTGGGGTATTTTAAAAAGTGAATTTGGGATGCTACTTCAACCGTCTAGCTGACACAAAGGGCTAGTGTCCCCAGGGACCAATTGGCTGGGCTGCAGAAACTCTTGTCTATTTGTATCTTCCAGAGATCGTGGGCTTTAAGGCCCACCTAGTTACCTAATAGCCCTCACTACTGTGTAGGGCCAAAGTTTGAAAGATACAACTAATTTTCTTTTGGCAGGGGAGACTAAGGAAGAAAAGGGTAGGAGTGATGTGGGGGTTATAGGTTCAAAATGTGAAAAGAAGTTCATTGGAGGGCAGCCCCCCGGGCCACACCCACTGGTCCGCAAAGGCACCCAAGGAGCCAGTGGACGCCACCCACTGGCGCTCTGCCTGGAAACGTGCACAGACAAGGGAGAGGAAAGCGGCCCCACAGTCTCTGGGCACCTTCCGGGCTAGAGCCTCCTTCCTGGTCAAGTACAGGGCCCACTTGGCCAGGGCCAGGAGGAGGTTGACCAGGAGGTTCTGGGACTTGGTGGGGCTGCAAATGGGGTGACCAAAGACAAAAAGTTGGGGGGTGAAATTCAACCAGAACCTCAAGAGGAGGTTCTGGAGGTGGCGGTGGAGGGGCTGCAGCCTGGCGCACTCAAGGGCCATGTGCGCCAGGGTCTCCCTCTGCCCGCAAAAGGGGTAGGAGCCCAGGTGTCCATGAAACTTGCCACATACACACCCATGGCAATGGCTCCATGGAGGAGCTGCCAGCTGAGGTCCCCAGTGGCTCATGGGATGAGGGTGGAATACAGACTTCCCAGAAGCTCCTGAGGGCAAGTAATCCTGAGGAGATGGCCAGGGCAGGTTTTTATACTGCTGGGGCCAGGACAGGGCAGCTTTTTATACTGATGGGAACAGCACAGGCGCTTGCCCCAGGCTCTAGCTCCCCCTGGCTGCAGATCCAGGATAGGCCAGGCAGAGTTATTTTGCCCCAAGTGGCACAATTTGCTCCACAACAAAGTACATGTCAGAGCATGTGCGCTGAGGCAAAAAGCCCCGGCTCAAATTTGCACTGCTTCTATTTGAGCTGCTGCAAGCGCACGTGCTTGTATGTGTGGACGTGCCTGTTGAGGTTTTTTTAGGCATGTGACTATCATCATGACACAGTGAGATGGGAAAAGGATGCATTCCCCCTCTCCCCTAGCCTACCTATTTATTAGGGATGGTGTGTACAATGCTGTGAACATATAAAGCATCCTAAAAAAGGATCCCCCTTGGATTCAGATGAAATTTGGAGGAAAAATTACAGGGTGTGCCTCTAGGACTAAACACAATGTACATACTGAAGACAGCGAAAGGCGTTGCAAGAAAAAACATGTTGCAATAGTATCTGAATTTGGGTCACTAGTATATGCACAGGTGCACATACATACAGACATACACAATTGTTCCTTTTGGCAATTTTTACATTAAAAGCCGTAGCAACTTTTTAGAATGGTGAAATACAAAGTTCTTTGTATTTTTCTACTTGTGAATCTCAAAGTATTTTTCTAATTACTGCAGTCTGAATTTGGTATGCACATGTTTAAACTTAATTTTCCACATTTCTTAGTTGGGGTAAAGTCTTCTCTTTTCTCTGTTGTTATTTGTCTCTTCATTCTCAGTTTCTTGACGTAGTATTTCTGTATTATTTTCTCTTTCCTTCATTACTTTCCTATAGTTTGTGTTTCACATCTACTTACTTCCTTGTCTTTTTACTATATTCATTCTCCACAATGTCTTTTGAATGACACACATTTAGGATGCTACCTAAAGCAATTCAACAAGAAGGATACCAACTGCTGGTGCTGTAAAATATCAAAATATGCAAGAGAAAAGGATATGTGAATAACTTTTATTGAACATACTACATGCCAGTCCAATAAAAGATTTCATTCATAGGAATCATTGTCTGTTGCATATTATCTGGATCATAACAGCTACAACGTCTCTTCAACTACCAATATCAAATATATAAATTTAGTATTATTGATTAGCCCAAGTTAACTTAGAAATTTACCTCAAAAATGAATTTAGCATTCCAAAAACATCTTAACTGGGTATGATCTATTGTAAAAATAGAATACAAGGAAAACATTCTTACCCTTATGCTTATAAATCCTTGTATACAATAATGGGGTAACAAGCATTCAGCACGTCAGTGTTTGAAAAGTTCTGTGCAATATTTGTAGTTATTTTTTTTTACAGATTGTTAAAACATGGTAGATTGACTGGCTAACATTTCCCTTTTGATGTTATACAACTCTGATAAGTACATAGGCGATGAAGCAAGAGATTCGGAAATATTTTTAAAAATATCAGA